TATAGTTTAACTCTCAAAGAAGCTCACGTGGCTCTACTCTATTCTACTCTACAAATGAAATTATCCTCAACTAATAAGAGTCGTATTCGACTTTTACTTATCCTCAATGGTGTCTTCTTATTTGATTATCAGTATTAGGCGAAACACAAGAAGCAACTATCAGCAATCAGCATAGGTTGGGACCTGCTGGGCTCGATTTGCATTATGCTAATATCATTCTCCAGATTGACTCGATAGTGAGCAATTTTGTAGTTTTGCATAATTATTTTCTTAAAATATTTGATTTTGTTTTGATTCTTTCTGAGTATGTCGAGAATGTCAGAGTAAGTTGTATTGTAGCCCTACACTGCGTGTCTCAACTGAATATTTTTTCTCTTCCTCTGTATTTTACGTTCCATAAAGAACATTGAAGTCACTTTTTTTATTTTCCTCATGTCATTAGGTAGCTCGTTCAGGTAACGTGTCATCAAACACCCGAGACACTTTGTACCAAAGCTTGCCACCTAACATCAAAGATTCTCTACGAACCAAAGTGCGGTCTTTCCATGTCGACAAGGAGGTTATTCTTCTGTTTCTTCAGTGTATTGGATATAATTTTCAACTCTAGTTTATTATGCGGTTGATTATGCATTTGCCTTGTTTATCTATTGACATGAACTGTTTTGTTTTACTGTTTTCCTTTTTCTTTCCCTTTCTATTTTTTTTCCCTCTCAGCAGCTCACAGTAACAGAAATCCAAGATGAGATGGAAAAAACATTGCATTGGCTTGTTCGGGTTGCTACAAATACGGCTAAGTAAGGCTTCAGAACCTTCAAATACACATATTCAATAAATTTCGCTACTGAGAATATTTTGTCGGTTTATATACGCAGAGCTCATCATGGCTTTGGTTGGGTTGGAGAGTGGGCTGGCTCGGGGTGAGTACTCTTTATTTGTAGCATAACTATAAAAACTTCACATAATTTTAGCCTAATTACCAAAACAGAATCTAGTGAAGAAAAAAAAAAGTCTTCTTTTAAATTCACAAATGTCTTTGTGAATGCAGGTCCAACCTGAACCGCAGGACAGTCGAGACTTCGGACATCATGCGAATCGAGACACTCCACCATGCAGGCAAGCAAAAGACAGAAGCTTATATTATTGATTTACTGTTGTGGCTTAACTATTTGGTCAGTCGGTCCAAGACCCGTTGCTGTACAGGTGGTGCTTGATCGCTTATTAGGTTGCCTGCTCGTTTGCCTCAAGCACCGGAGATTCATATTCATTTCTATCTTTTGATCATTGCAAATAACGAGAGCCGGCACAGTTAAAGGATTGGCCAATTTAGTTATGGTTCCAGTCTTGACTATAAAATAAACGAAGAAAGGTCGAATGACGATGAATTGATTTTTTGTGTATGGAGATGTATGATTTAGTATAGACATGATATAGTAGAAGTGAGCGACCTTAGTATCTGTATAGTGACACTATATATGTGTTATTGCATAGAATCATGGACGGATTTACTTAAGGGCTGAGTTGTGTTGAAGCCAATGCCTTTTTTTTTT